CATTCGCCCTTCCTCGTCACCGGCGAAGGCGGGCTTCTTTTTCATAGACAAAAAGGATGGATCACTCCGGCCCTGCATAGACTACAGCCCTCTGAAAGCAATCACCATCAAAAACAGGTACCCTCTCCCACTCATCTCCTCCGCCTTTGAACTTTTGCAAGACGCCAACATTTTCACCAAACTGGATTTAAGGAATGCTTATCATTTGGTGAGAATCAGGGAGGGGGACGAATGGAAGACTGGATTTAACACACCTAGTGGACACTATGAGTACCTAGTATAAAAGATAGGTACAAAGATAAAACTGAGGTAATGGTTTTTGGAGCCAAGGCAGAACGTATAAAAGTTAGCGCTGAGCTTCAGTGTGCAATGTTCAAAACAATGTTCAAAACAACAGATAAAGCCAGAAATCTAGGTGTAGTCATGGACTCTGACCTGAGTTTCAACAGTCACATTAAAACAGTTACTAAATCAGCCTACTATCACCTAAAGAATATATCTAGGATTAAAAGACTAATGTCACAGCAGGATTTGGAAAAACTTGTCCATGCTTTTATCTTCAGTAGACTCGACTACTGCAATGGTGTCTTCACAGGTCTCACTAAAAAATCTATTAGGAAGCTTCAGCTAATTCAGAACGCTGCTGCTCGAGTCCTCACTAACACTAAGAAAGTGGATCACATCACTCCTGTTCTGAAGTCTTTACACTGGCTTCCTGTGTGTCACAGAATAGATTTCAAAATACTGCTGCTGGTTTATAAAGCACTGAATGGTTTAGGCCCAAAATATATTTCTGACCTCCTGCTAAATTATGAACCATCCAGATCTCTCAGGTCTTCAGGGACTGGTCAGCTTTCTGTCCCCAGAGTCAGAACTAAACATGGTAAAGCAGCATTCAGTTATTATGCTCCAAATATCTGGAACAAACTCCCAGAAACCTGCAGGTCCGCTGCAACTCTTACTACTTTTAAATCCAGGCTGAAGACTTTTCTTTTTGTCGCTGCTTTTAATTGAACTATTCATATCTTAGACTGCACTGTAACTTTTATCCATGTACTTTTTTCTTTTAATGTTTAATTGCACTGTAACTTTTATCCATGTATTTTTTCTTTTAATGTTTATTTTATTAGCTTTTCTTTTTAATGACTGATTTTAAATGCCATTTTCTTAATCTCTTGTCATTTTTTGTAAAGCACTTTGAATTGCCTTGTGTTGAAAAGTGCTATATAAATAAACTTGCCTTGCCTTGCCTTGCCTTGCCTTGCCTTGCCTTGCCTTGCCTTGCCTTGCCTTGCCTTGCCTTGCCTTGCCTTGCCTTGCCTTGCCTTGCCTTGCCTTGCCTTGCCTTGCCTTGCCTTGCCTTGCCTTGCCTTGCCTTGCCTTGCCTTGCCTTGCCTTGCCTAGTGATGCCTTTTGGCTTGACAAACGCACCGGCAGTGTTTCAGGCCCTCATAAATTAGGTGTTGGGGGACTTCCTGAATACGTTTGTGTTTGTATATCTTGATGACATTTTGATTTTTTTCTCCTGACAACATAACCCACCAGCAGCATGTCCGTCAAGTCCTCGACCGCCTGCTACAGAACCAACTTTATGTTAAAGCAGAAAAGTGCGAGTTCCATGTCCAAACCACATCGTTCCTGGGTTTCATCATCACCCCCGGTCAAATAAAGATGGACCCTGTCAAGGTCAGTGCCGTGGCCGAGTGGTCAGTTCCTGTCAACAGGAAAAAACTACAGCAGTTCCTGGGGTTTGCACATTTTTATAGACCTTTCATCAGAAATGTCAGTTCTATTGCTTCCCCGCTACATTTACTTACCTCTCCTCATGTCCCTTTTGAATGGAACTCCAAAGCTGCTAACGCTTTTCAAGCTCTAAAGGAGATGTTCACCTCTGCTCCCATCCTCACCATCCCAGATCCACTTTGACAGTTCGTGGTAGAGGTGGATGCCTCTAACCTCGGTGTGGGGGCATTTCTCTCTCAGCGGGCTGCAAAGGATAATAAGCTCCATCCCTGCGCTTATCTCTCCCGTAAGTTGTCCCCAGCGGAAAGGAACTACCACCTGGGCAATCGTGAACTACTGGCAGTGAAACAAGCCTTGGAGGAGTGGAGACATTGGCTAGAAGGGGCCGCTCAGCCGTTCCTGGTATGGACAGACCATAAGAACCTTGAATACATAAAAAAGGCTAAGAGACTGAATTCACGCCAGGCTAGATGGACACTTTTTTTCAGTCGTTTTGATCTTACCTTGTCATTTAAACCTGGTTCCCAGAACACCAAGCCAGATGCCTTGTCCCGTCTGTTTGACCCTGAGCCTGCTGCCAAGGAACCAGAACCCATCCTACCACTGAACCGTGTGGTAGTAGCGGTAACTTGGCAGATAGAAAAAGAGGTGCAGCAAGCAAATGTTGAGAGCCCAGCACCTAGTGAGTGTCCGCCTAATAGGCTGTTTGTTACAGTGCCCTTACGCTCCAAGATCATTCACTGGGCTCACACGTCCTTGCTCACTTGTCATCCTGGGGTTAGAGGAATCATGTTCGCACTCAAGCAGTGTTTCTGGTGGCCGTCCATGGCTAACGATGTTGGTGAATATGTGAATGCCTGTCCTGTTTGTGCTCGCAGCAAAACTTCTTCCAGGTCTTGGGCTGGGTTGCTGCAGCCGTTGCCCATTCCTCAACGGCCCTGGTCTGACATATCCATGGACTTTGTTACTGGACTCCCGGTGTCTCGAGGTAATACCACTGTGCTAACAGTGGTAGATCGTTTTTCTAAAATGACTCATTTTATGAAATGAAGATGACCAATGTGTTCTGCATACATGGATTTCCCAGGGATATTGTGTCAGACCGGGGCCCACAGTTTGTTTCCAAGTTCTGTAAAGAGTTCTGCAGTCTCATTGGAGCCACCGCTAGCCTCTCCTTTGGGTATCACCCCCAGTCCAACGGACAAATGGAGAGATTAAATCAAGTGTTGGAGACATGTCTGAGGTGCTTGGTGGCTCAGAATCCCTCATCGTGGAGCAAGCATCTAACCTGGGTGGAATACGCCCACAATTCTCTTCCCACCTCTGCCACAGGTCTGACTCCCTTCCAGTGCGTCTTTGGCTACCAACCACCCGTGTTTGCTGAGACTGAAAAGGAGGTCTTGGTCCCGTCTGCACATGCCCTGGTCAGACGTTCCCACCGCATCTGGGCGGCTACCCGTCGAACCCTTCTAAGGAGTTCTTCTTCAATGAAAAGGGGGGCTGACCGACACCGCCGGGCCAGCTCCAGTGTACCAGTCTGGGCAGAAGGTGTGGTTGTCCACGAAATATCTACCCCTCCATGTCGCTTCAAGAAAATTAGCCCCCAGGTTTGTTGGTCCTTTTCCAATAACGAAGATTGTGAACCCTGTGTCTGTGCGCCTGCGACTCCCCAGGTCCTGTCGGGTCCACCCTACATTCCACATTGGGAAGATCAAGCCTGTCAAGGAAAGCAGTTTGGTGCCCGCAACTAAACCTCCGCCACCCCCCAGAATTGTTGATGGTGGCCTTGTTTATATGGTCAAGAAACTGCTGGCAGTCCGGAGAAGGGGACGTGGCAGGCAGTTCCTCGTTGACTGGAAAGGCTATGGAGCAGAGGATAGGATGTGAATCCCTTCTCGCTACGTTGTGGATCAGGAGTTGATCAGGGATTTCTACAGGCAACATCCTAATCTGCCTGTGCCGTCAGGAGACGTGCCTAGAGGGGGTAATGTTGTGACTCGACAGATATGTTAGGTTTAGTTATGTTTTTATTCTAGTTTTGTGTTTTTATCTTGTCACTTCCTGTTTTTATTTTGAAAGTAATCTTTCCTGTCATTCCAGATCCCACACTTCCTGCCTTTGTGTGTTTCCCGCCCGTGAGATTGCTTGGCCCTGCCCTGATTGTTTTCACCTGTGCCCATCCCCCTCACCTATATATAGCCCTGTTGTTTCTTTGTTCCTTTGTCAGTTCGTTATGTTTCATATCGTGAGCACCTAGGCCTTTTGACCTTGCGATTTAGACCTTTTGCCAAGTGAGTTTTTGTGTTGCTGTACAACTTAGTTTTGGCTGTTTAACTACTTTCTATTTTTTGAAAGTACGATTTAGTTTTTGTTATTAAAGAACAATCTATTTTTGGACAACTGTCTCCGAGTCCTGCTTTTGGGTCCTGCGTCCTGTGTCTCGGTTCATAACAGCCATACTTTACCATAGGTCAGAATGTGTGTTTTCTAGGTGCTAAATTAGATCTGATGTAATATCATGTAAGAGGGATACAGATTATAAAGTGGGGGCTCATAAGGGACAGGCTCCAACAGTTAGCCCATTAGTGCTATATAAACAGACCAATGATTCAGGTCTAGCTCACCTGTAATGTTTATTATTTTATAGTTGTATCTTATGAACAGTCACAGGGCCTGTCTACACACTGATATATATATTTCCATTGAAAGCACAGTAACATGTCATCTAAACCTTCTCCTGCCCAGTTTGACCCTGGATGCTGAGACGTACATGATGTTTCCACAGAGTGATAATATATCTGCGTCAGGAGTGTTTCTCTGACATTGACCGAGGTCAGTCTGCTCTCTGACGTCATGAACAAAGTGTGTTATCAGTGAACGCTGACCTTTACAAATGTGTCCTGCTTGTAATTCATCTGGGTGATGTAACATCGGCAGAGTACGATTCCTCCTGGAAGCACTGAGTGTACCTGCTGAGGTTCAGAGACATGCAGCATCTACAAAGTGTTTTACCTAAAGCCACTTTCTGTCTGGAATCTAGTTCGCTGTTAGGGTTGGACAGTTAGCAGAGGAAGCATGCAAAGGGTTCCTCTGAGAGTTTATATATAATAATCTTCTGTGGCTGAAGATGAGCTCATGTTGACAAGACAAAACAATGAGCTGTAAGTGGATAAACAGGAGATTTGTGTAACCAATATTCCAGTTATCCCTGAATGTAATGTTTATGATATAATATGAAGATAATAATAATAATTATAATGCATTTATTTTATATAGGCGCCTTTCAAGGCTCTCAAGGTCGCCGTACAAACACACAAAAAACAAGATACATAATAGATAACACCAGCATAAGAAACATAAACAAGACAATGCAGTATATCAATCAATCAAATAACCAAATCAATGAAAACAGAGGATGTGTGATGGATAATGATCAGGGTGTGCGAGTGTGAAGAGATGTGTTTTGAGGCGTGATTTGAAAATGGGGAGAGAGTCAGTGTTGCGGATGTCAGGTGGGAGGGAGTTCCAGAGGCGGGGTGCAGAGCGGCTGAAGGCTCTAGACCCCATGGTGGTTAAACGGAAGGGAAGTGCAGTGAGGCTGAGGGAAGCAGAAGATCTGAGTGTGCGGATGGGTGTGTTGATGTGCAGGAGATCGGAGAGGTACAGAGGAGTGAGGGTATGGATTTGACGGGGAGCCAGTGAAGCTGCTGAAGAACAGGAGTGATGTGGTTAATGGAGGGGGTTTTGGTGATGATGCGGGCGGCAGAGTTCTGAACCAGTTGAAGTCTGTGGATGGATTTGAGAGGGAGACCAAAAAGAAGGAAGTTGCATTCCATTGCATTCCATTGCATTACATGTCACTTGTTAATAATAATAATAATAATTCCTTACATTTATTATAGCGCTTTGCCAGATGCTCAAAGCGCTTTACAAATACACATTACACATATCATACATGCAATGGTCACCACTTTTATCCAAAGCGACTTACATACTCAATACTGTTGGCAATCCCCACAGGAGCACTTTGGAGTGAACGACATGCTGACTGCAGTGGGGTTTGAACCTGTGACCCCCTGATCCGAACACCAACTTACAACCCACTGCACACGCCTCCCAGTTGCAGTAGTCAATGCGGGAAGTGACCAGGGTGTGAACAAGAATGGCGGAGCTCTTAGGGTTAAGGGACGGGCGGAGGTGGTTGATGTTGCGTAGATGGAAATAGGCAGACCGAGTGATATGACTGATATTGATAACAGCTTTGCCAGAGGGACGATGGAAGAACTGAGTCCATAAGCCATCAGAGTCCCTTCCATCCTCCTTGAAGTGTATTGGACAGCAGAGACTGTATCTCACTTTCGATTGGTCGCTGTCAGGACTCTGACAGCTGCTGTCCAATGGAATCAGGCGCTGCTCGATATAATGGATTCCTATTGGTCTGTGGTGGCCAGACAATGACAGGACGGGTTATTAATGACTGTCTGCAGACTCAGTGTGGGAACTTACAAGGACAACTCATACACTTACAGAAACGATTGTATCTTTGTACTGAGTGGGATTACAGTGACTGATATTGCAACTGTGATATTATTCTTAATTTTGGAGTGGTTGATCATTTCTGTATTATCGATGATAAATATATACAGTAATATGATCATAGTGGGATTTTGTAAGAGGATCTGTACCAAACAAATGTTTTTTAGTCTAAAGAATTGTGTTTCCATGCTGGGTTATCTTCCTTCAAAATATTATAAACACATGGCTTTTAGATCTCAATATTCCACTATATTGCATTTTATTTTACGATAACATGCTTTAATTGTGCCGTCCAATTTCTCCTTCCGGATCTTAACCTGTTAAACCCCGAGCCTGTTTTTCAGGTTTCAGGCTCGAAAATGACATTCCCAGAACAAATGACTATAACTTCACTTCTAAAAGGTTTATATGAATAATTGTTCTTATCAAAGCAAGGTTACATCTGTGAGTTGGATGTAGAAGTGTCAGAATCAATATAGATTTTTCTGTGTCAGAGTAAATTCAGATGGAACATAGCAAACAAATGTAAATTCCTGTCTCCGCCTAAAGAAAACCCATTACTTATAGTGAAGACCAACCTTGAATGATAGGTTAGTAGCCTAAAAGCTTTAGGAATCCAAAGTATAACATATAATAAGTACCCTGTATCAAGATTGAGGCAAAACAAGTGACATTTGCCCTTTTTAGAGAGGTTTATGAAAATAAAGTCCAGGCGGAATAAGCTTTGGGCACATTTGGTTCCATCAGTGCCATTTTACCTTTTTCAGGTACCAGACTATAACAATTATTGTATTACATTGAATAATCACTATAGGTATTCATTCCACCCAAAAAAAAATAATATTTGTGTGTGTGTAGGTGTGTATGTGTAAGTGTAGCTGTGTGGGTACTGTATGTGTAGGTGTGTGTGTAGCTGTGTGGGTATGGGTAGGTGTGTATGTGTAAGTGTAGCTGTGTGTATGTAACTGTACCAACGCACTATACAATAAAACCACACTGTAGGTCATTGTGTGTAGGTGTACTTGCACAATACAAAAAAACAGAAACATAGGTAACATTTGACTCCAACTGGGGCAGATTTATTTCAAACATTTTACCAACACACTATAGGCATGTAAAAACAAACATTTTACCAATGTACTATACAATAAAACCACACTGTAGGTTTGTAAAAACAACAAATATTTAAGTATAAGTATTTTTTTTTAAATAAACACTCGCAAAACGTTATACCTACCTGAACTTTATACCTACCTGAATGTTCCAGTATTTAGGTCGTGCCACTCCCTGAAACAGTTCTTTTTGACAGTGAAGCACAGAGGGACCTGGCACTTCCTGCAGTACACAGGTGTCTTCACCCTTTTGAGTCCAGCATCTAGGCACCTCCTGCAGTTCTCCTGACCTTGGTGGCGTCTTCCCCATAATACTCGGACATGCATGTGAATGGTGGAGGAGGGGGTGGGGGTGGTGGAGGTGCAGGGCCTTCAGCAGGGCCTTCAGCAAACTCCAACAATTCTGCAGCAAGCTGCTCCCTGAAAGTCTTCTGGGTGTGTGGCGTTGTCCTGCTGGGGTCACTCCTCATCTAACAAATGTGGAAAAACAAAGAGATTAGATTAATTCACTGGCTTATATTTATAGGATAATATTGGACTATAAATGAATAATATTGCACCAAATAAATAAGTAAACACATGTATATATTCATTCACTGGCCATTCATTTAGAAAATCTAACTCCAAAAAGACAAGTAACACTATTTAGCATTTTGCCTAATCATTCCTGTAGCTTCTCGGCTAAGCTAGCACTGTGACGCAGTTCCACCAAACACATAAGTAATATATAAAAACAGAGAGATTACATTCCTTTCCCGTGGTGGAAGTTCAACATCCGAGTCACTACTGTCCGGATCCAGGTCTGGCTGGAGGAGATCTTCATCATCCGACGACGAGTCATCTGGTATGAGCTATCGTCAGCTAGCATCTCTAGCACCTGCTCGCCTCGGTGGTGAAGCTCTCCCTTCTGGCTGCGTAATGCGTAATGGAGCCGGAGCGGGCGTAGTTTATACTACGCAGGATCATATCTTTGGAACCCATTGGTCGATTTGGGTGATTGACACCTTTTCTGAACCGTTAGAGCCAATATAATCGAGTTACAGTTAGTAAGTCCCGCTAAACACTTACGTCAAGTAGAGAGAGGTTTGCATAAACAGCACGTG